CTGTGCTTATACAGCTGGAGCAAACGCAGTTTAGAGCATATGTAATCGCTCTGATGACACGCCGATAGTAACGGACATGAAACCGGTTAAATGAAATAGGCTAAGCATTCTATTGAAATGCATTGTGCATTGTGTATGCATTTCAACGGGGGTTCGCCATATACATCGGCGATTATCCCAGTGTTCACGTTCGTTATTTCTAAGGTCGACGTTTTCATTGTGATGAGTGTGTGGTTGATTTCAGCTGCAAGCAGCGTCAGAAGCACGCGCTTATCGCAGTCATATCAATGACAGTGTTGCGGGAGACGCTGCTAACATAGTCATAGCCCTCTAGCGTTAAGCCGGTCGGCGTGGTAGCCCAGGCTAACATAGTCATAGCCCTCTAGCGTTAAGCCGGTCGGCGTGGTAGCCCAGGCTAACATAGTCATAGCCCTCTAGCGTTAAGCCGGTCGGCGTGGTAGCCCAGGCTAACATAGTCATAGCCCTCTAGCGTTAAGCCGGTCGGCGTGGTAGCCCAGGCTAACATAGTCATAGCCCTCTAGCGTTAAGCCGGTCAGCGTGGTAGCCCAGGCTCACATAGTCATAGCCCACTAGCGTTAAGCCAGTCTGCGTGGTAGCCCAGGCTAACATAGTCATAGCCCTCTAGCGTTAAGCCGGTCAGCGTGGTAGCCCAGGCTCACATAGTCATAACCCACTAGCGTTAAGCCAGTCTGCGTGGTAGCCCAGGCACACATAGTCATAGCCCACTAGCGTTAAGCCGGTCGGTGTGGTAGCCCAGGCACACACAGATAGTAATACATGCGGTTCACATGGCTCTTCGGAGCAGCAGAAGTACATATGTTTTGACGATAGATCTGCTTGTTGGGGGGTGTTTTGTTCATGTTTTGGCTTGTATTGTCCTTGCTATGTCTCCTGCTTTGTGGGGGGTTATTTCATGTATGTTATATTTGCAGCAGCAATAATTTTATATACATTTATAAATAATGTTTATTATTGTTTAGTTTTTTATTCATAAACAACTATACAAATTGTATAAATAATTAAAATGGTTATAATTAAATAAATACTAATATGCTAATTAAACTATAAAATACTAATTACAATGTTTACAATAGTAAAACATTCAGTGTGTAAAAAGCATTTAAAAAGTAAATAATATTAAAATATGAATAAACACAAATACATTTATTTATATATATTTGCTTAGTCTTACATGTATTTTTATTACATACTGTATTGTAATTTTTATTTTATTTTTTACATTATTTGTGTCAGTTTGTGTGTTCATTTATGAACAATATTTATTTTTGTTTACTTATGTATACAATAAACAAAATATAAGCACATATATTTACTATTTATTATTTAATTTATAAAAGAAACATGAAAATATGCATGTACATTATATGTACCTATTTTATATGTAACATATAAGTAAACATTTTAAAGCATAAATTATCAGAAGAATATTTCCTTTTTAAAATTTGCACCTCAGTTATTTCTATAGTATATTATATATTGTTGGTTTCTGGAATTTAATTTTTGGCAAAAGTCAGCGAGCACTAGTAACTAACGGACAGAGTCAGACTCAATACTCGGGTCATTTCAATCTTCTTTTCTTTGATTCTTTTAATAAATAAACCGTAGAACATTCACAAGAGCCCCAGTCCATATCATTTCCTCATCATATTTCCTCAAAGATATTAGATATAATTGAAGTGTATAAAACTATTTTATTCAGAAATGTCATGCTTGTGATTTTTTATTTAACAGCACAGCTGTCAATCACTGTGTCTGCTTTCTCTCAATTTCAATTTCAATTTAAGAGTGCTTTATTGGCAT